TATTTCACTGGGTTGCCACCCGAATCCATTCAGAACTTCGTTGGCTTGCACTTGCTGCTCCCCTCAGCTACCCGTGACTGAATTTGGCTGCGCGAGAAGCTATACTACTTGCCTTGGGGCTACATAAAGCCTGCAACGCCTCAGTTCATGACTTACTGAGCTGGTTGGAGCCTCAGCGCTTCTGTTGCTCACCAACCTTGGTTCAGTTTGAGTGCCTTAACAATAAAATGTTTTGTGACCTCTGTGACGGTGGACCAAACGCCTTGAAACATCTAGCGACACAGAATGAACCCACAGTTGAAATTCCAAAACACGGTAGGATTCTCTGCTGTGGCTCGATCACATACGACGGTCGACATTGCCATACTTCAAGTCCCCCCCAACTTTCCTGTCCTTATCATTTTCTAAATTTCGTATCTTTATTTCCATTGCAGTTTGCCCCGCTCGCGGGAGAGGCGAGCACGCCTAGGGGGCTTTGGTGGAAGTGAGCATAGCCTTTGCTCTTGTTCCAAGGGATGTGCGTCGTATTGGCGCGATCCCACTGGTTACAAGGCTTCTGTCAACCAAAGGGTGAGAGCGTAGCTGGAAAAGCACACACTTTGTGTCTTATTGGGACTAAGCCTTTTGAAGAAGATAAAGAAAGAGAAGATGCTGTGATAGTGTGCACTTGTGAGAGCTCCCAGACATCACTACAAAACGCTGAACCGCCAAGGGTTGACAGAAGTCCTATCCAGGGTCAACCGTTACGTTGGACCGATATTGGAGCGACGTTGGACCGATGTTCACCGCTCTCCGCGCCGGCATTCACTCTCGCCACCCGCGAGCCGTCTGTGTCTCCGTGCGTACGTTCACTCTCGGCATTACTCTCGTCGTCGCGTTGGACTTTGTCCAACGGACGGTTGACCTGGTCGCTGATACCGGCTCATTGGGCATTTGGAGCGCAAGGCGGAATTACGCAAATCCGTGCACTGGCCGGAAACTTGTCCGCGCAACCAACTATGCTCGGTTTCTTATTTTTCACCAGTTTAGCTCCGCCCGCTACCGCGCGCATTGATAGAACTGACAATCGATGAAGCTTTAGGTTTCACCGCTAAATTATAGCTGCTTCGTTAAATGTATTTACCGTCAGTTGCATGGCTGCCCATTTTGGCTGTATCTCACTGTTTGATAAGCGCAGTGAAGTGCACAGCTAAAGTGATGATGTAAACAACCACTATGCGTCGAGTATCGAGGTAATTTAGCGGTCGAATATCTCAAAACGGAATGCCTAGTATTCATTATCATATTTATTCGAGCATCCCATTCATCCTCAAGAACTCTAGAAGGTGTAGCGGTCGAAGGAGTTTACAATTACAACGCTGATGAAATGATATTGAAATGAAAGGCATTATCTACAATTTGCTCTCTATTTTCTATTTTAAGTGCCTCTCTACGTTCGTACGCATATCGTTCCTATCACTCTCTCATCAGTCGTTATCACTTTGTGACCCCCACCAAATATGTTCCCGTCTTACCCCCTATATCATGCCCCAAAATCAGCTCCTGACGACTGCTGCGAAGCGCACTATGAATTTCGTGAAATTTGTGTTTCAGCGCCTCTTATCTTCTTATCAGTCGTTATCACTTTGTGACCCCACCAAATATGTTTCCGTCCCACCCCCTATATCATATCAAAAAATCAGCTCCTAACGACTGCTGCGACGCGTGCTATGAATTTCGTGACACACGCACGCACACACAGACAGACAGACAGACTTAGCGCTTTATATATAGTAGGGATTTTTCGACAAACTTTCTTGTAATCAGTGACAGCGAAGCTATTCGCAGTTATTTTGGCCTTGGGATCTCAGCAAGCAAAGGACCCAATTATGAGATTGTGATCATATTACTGAGCCAAGGCCAAGAGGATACGGACGAGGTTTGGGTCGCGGCGCGCAGCAGGATGAGGCAGTTGCGGCCTGTTCGCGGGTATGCCAGTGGGCATCGCGCAGTATGACGCTCCCCGTTGTTTGGAGACGCCAACATGATTATAGGGATCTGAGACGGATATTATCAACCGAAAGTTACTTGAGTGCCGTGATAAACAATAGGGACGTGGTGATGGCAATGCATTTCAAATTCGCGTAAAACATTGCTCTTTTTGTTAAGAAGCAGCAGGTGCAGAGCCTTAGAGGAGACCGAAAGACTTCAGCGTGCGTCAAGCATTTCATTTCTCCGGAGCGATTGCTCCTCTACGCCTTATACAGTTAGTCTCAAAGGCTGCCCCGTATATGCGATAGCGCAAAGTTCTTTGCTGTAGTTTTCGCAGTCTCAAATTCATCAAGAACGTGCAGCATAGGTCATGAGAATTTTGAGGATCATCGGAGACTGAACACCATCACTCAGATTGCTCTTCTATTTTGGGCCAGGCCTCATTCGGTATTTGCCCGAAATGGCATGAAGGTATTGCCTAATCCAAACATGTACCGTGCAGTCTAATCCGCGAATTTTCAATCTCAGACTACTGCAACGAGTGGCGAGAGTTCGATTGCCATCCAAAGGCTGGAGCTCAAAATCAATAAGAGGAAAAAGAGGGAAAAGAGCAAAGCTTACAGAAAATTTGAACCAGTCTGGTTCGGTAAAACGCAGGGCTTCTGTGAAGCATACGAGAGCGCACAGCAACCAAAGCATGATGTAATATGAACAGCACTCGGCTTCATCCGCTTCTTAAATGTTTACATTGAAATGAAATGATTTCCCGAGATGGGTGTTTTCCTATCAGAGGACTCTCATCAGTGGTGCAAATCAGGTTCTACACTTCCTTCAGCCAAACATGTTGTTTATCCAACTAAACCCAGTTAAAGGCATATCTCCCACATTTTTACTCTGTGAAATTGAAAAAGAATCTTGGCGAAGGGAAGATTCTTGGGCAAGTAATTTTGCATGGTAGTTGCAGTAGCTTTTGGAAAGCTATACCTCATTGTTTCTGAGAATTCAATCGATTTGTGGAAAAAAATAATTTTGAATGTTTCTCCGAGGATATCGCTACAAGACAATTTTTGAAAAAATTGCGGCTCCGAAGCTCAGAAAATCTCCTGGAGATTGGACCATGAGCCCCTAAAACAAACAGTCGCTTTTTTATCCCGATAACTTTGAACCTTGAACAGCAAATCCGCGGTGACTCACGGTTGGCTTAAGGGCACCGATTACGATAGATTCTGGAGGGGTTCAAAGGAAACGTGAGGTGCTCATTGGTACGCCAATAGCGAAAAAAGCAGAGAAATCCGTCGGAGTTGAAGAATTGGAAGATACAGCAGCTAAAAGCTAAATGATCACCCAAATGAAAAGCCAACAGCAAACAGCTCGCCCAAGTCACCAACTGAACTAGTGGGCGTAACGCTTTCGGGCGGAGTGCTTCGGAAGTCCTGCTCAGCAACCAGGGCACCTTTCGTCGTGAAAGCGCCACACTTCGCTTTCTTTGGCAGCCAAGTAACTGCTCGTGGCGCATACACTCCCATGATGCGGCCCTTCCTCATAGTAATCAACTCCTTTGAAAAAAATGTAGATGTACGCATTCCGTGGCTCTGGAATCGGTTTGGCCGCGTTCATAGTCTCGCGACTCCGGAGATTAGGATAGTACGCGACAATGAAAAACATATGTATTGACGGGGAGATTAGGATAGTAGTAGAGTAGGATAGTGCGCTGACAAGATAAGTATTGATCGATTCGCCTGGAGACGCCGCGGCACAGTCACAACCCTGCGTTGCGCAGTTCGCAACGGCACGTTGAGAGATCCTCAACGCACGCTGTATGGGCGGAGACGCAGACGGCTCGAGCATGCGAGTGTGAATGTTCGCGCGAGAGAACGTGTCTAATCGGGCGAAACTGCGCAACGTGGCCGTTGAGAACTGCGCAACGCAGGGTTGACTCTGCTCCGCCTCAAAAAAACACATACACAACATCACACCAGCGCACAACATGACACACATATACTACATAATTGCATATACGGACGATATATGGACTGAGTTTATTGGCGACGGCAAAAAAAACACACTTCATCAAGTTCCAAACATAACAAATGTTCTGCTGCTCCATGACCTCATCACCTAATCGACCTCCACCTCAACATTCGGAGAGCCCAATTGGATATCACAGTTCTGCTCAGGAATATTCCACAGACGAGTGCGAAGAGGGTCCAGCAGAATCTGTGCCATAATGCAATTACAGTAATCAGCCTTTAGGGCTCGAACAAATCAAATACCTGAGCTGCATTATCAACCGAATACGGAGTGTCTGGGAGGAAGTCGCTCAAGTGTCGCATCTGGATGTTCGTTAGCCAACCACGAATGATTGCCTTGTCTTCATCAGTTAGCGTTTGAGTCACTTCATCTTCAATGTCGTCGACTATGCGTAAAGCAACCGCACATTCTAAAATTAAATAATGAATGAGCTCGTACAACTGCCTGATTGGCATTGTTCGAAATGAAATTCTTTGGTGGTAAAATGTATTGGAGCGTTCAGAGTTGGCGATCGTACGTGCGACTAGGCGATTAGGCGATTAGGCGATTAGTCTATAATGAAAAATATACGTATAGATTAGGCGATTAGGCGAGTAGGCGAGTAGGCGATTAGGCGGGAAGACTACATACGTATTGATTGGTTTGCTCCGCCCATAGAGCGTTGTAGGCGAGTAGGCGAGTAGGCGAGTAGGCGATAGGCGATTAGGCGATTAGGCGATCGCTCAATGGGCGGAGCAACAAATCAATACGTATCCTTCCCTTATCGCCTACTCGCCTAATCGATATGTATACCTTTCTTTTTGGATCATCGCCTAATCGCAAGTACGTTCGCAAAGTATGAACGCTCCATATGGCGCATTATGTCGTAACATTTTATCCTTTGGAATTCCATCTCAATGCACTCTTAAATTTCAAATACACTAGTGTACAAAACTTAAAGAAGAAAAAATGTGTCATCAGCTGGATGAAAGTGTGGGAGCATGTCGCCAAATATCTTCCAGTCGCGCACACGAAGGTGGATGTTGTATGTTCCAGATGAGTTTGGATATTGTGCCAACAAATACTCCATGACACCAATCGGGGTTACCGTAAGGACCAACCAATGTGTGCGGGTCAGCGGAGCCATGGAGCAAGCAACTTCGGACGACTCGTCCAAAACGTCCCCTGGGGCACATTGAGTGGGAAGAGAGGGAGTAAAAGGAGGAAGCTTGTTTACCGCTTTTCGATGTTTTGCTCCGCTTCGTTTCTTTTTTCATTTTACAGTCAGTCACCATCAATCATTCCATTATAGACCGCTGTTAGCCCATCGATTTGATCTGGGGTTGTTGCTTCAACACCTTCAACTGTTTATAAACACCCACGGGTACCCGACAGGAGGCCCGTCGCGCGGCAAGAAGGCAGAGTCGCGGACGAGTCGCAGCGCGTGGTGTGCGATGTAGGACGTGCAATGGTACATTCTATTTAACTTGACGCGAAATCACTACAGTACGCGCTGCGACTCGTCCGCTGACTCTGCCTTCTTGCCGCGCGACGGGCCTCCTGTCGATTATCTGAACATCTACTGGGCACATTCTCATCCATTGCACGTGATGCTGCAGTGGGAACAGAACGAGAAAACCGGCTAAACATCACTCACCAAGAGCATTCAGAGCAGGTAGAGGACGTACATGTCGAACTACACCAGCAAAAAAAGTGCCAAGACGCTGCCAACTGATGGGCTGCTCTCTGCCGTAACTGCGGCCGTAACGATATTCGGTTACCTGAACGAGGATTATGCAAAAGCCCGTCAGAACTATTTTTCATTACCTTTTCACTTGAACAATTCTCTTAAAATATTGATATGTTATGCCTCTAGGTATTTTCGAATCTCCAAGGCTTGAAGGCTTAACCTTACAGATATAATTCCAAAAATTCTGGCGGACACTTTTGACCACTACTTACCTATGAAATACGCAATCTTTCCTAAGGGTCTGTGTGAGTACCCTAACTTGCATAAAATAAGCTCGCCCTGTATAAGCCCTCATGGTGTACAATCTCGGGATAGGATATCTAGCCCTATGATGCCATCCACTAACAATGCAATAGGATCAAAACCAGGGTCAATCGTCCGTTCGCACTATTCGAACGTGGGGGCGCAATTGCGATTTCGGAAAGGGGGGCTAGGTGAGGTTAATTTTTGAAGAAGTGCGAGGAGGTCGTCAAAGGGGTGCCATTTTGACAGGTTTTTGGTGGAAGTTTTACGAAGGTAGTGACGGCGCTCGACACGGCCATTTTGGAGGGATAAACAGGGAAACAGGGAGAAAGATAAAGAGGGGTTTCGTGTGGTCTTACAATCGAACACTATAG